CAAATATTTTCAGATATATCAGAATATTTTTTTTCTTCTTTAATTTTATGTGCCCCACTCCTTAACAATACAAAAGCAGGAACTCATGCATAAGTAAGAATTCCTGTTGAGCCCAGGAACACTAGTCACATGCCCTTAATTAGGAATATAGTCTAAGTACCAGTTGAACTGGGGTCTCATAATATGCATGGGACAAAGTATGCATTTTGCCCTGATAATGATTAACATCAATAGGAATTCCATGGCTAAAGTACATGCTCCTCTAAGGCCCAAACACTATTGCTGCTCTTTGCAGTTTTCCCTTACTTGAGGGAAAACCCTTGACCGAGCAGAAAAAGCATAAGTTTGGCCTAGGCAGAACCAGCACATCATCCTCGTCCCCATAACAGCTTCCTCAGGTGAAAGGTTAGAGGTGCATTTGCTCTATTGCCAACAAACCTAGGGTCAACATATTTTTAAAGACAAAATTAAATGAAATGAACTAAAATCTCTTCAAATAGAACTACAGTTTGTTGGCATGTTCTCACAGTCTCATTGAAGAGGCAATGAAAATACATAGTGTACAAAGTTGGGATCTTTCCTCCCAGCTGTGATTTGGAAAGGGAAGTCCATCCTCAGCTGGATAAATGATAATGTAGCCTCTAAATTATGCCTAAATAGTATCTATAATTATCGATCAAGAGTGTTCCTTAAAAATTTAGCAAGGTTACATTCATCACATAAAGCTGCTTCCCTGAATTTAATCTTGTGACTACACATGAAACACAGTAATTTTGCTTCAAAATAGTTATTGGCAGGAATGACAACTAGAACTATTTTATGCAAGGAATTAACAAAGAACCCATGGTAGAAGTAATGATACAGTTTTGTGCATCTTACCTGGATGAGAATAGATACCTTTGTGACAATGAATAAAATAAACATGACTAATACTGTATTTTAACGTTCACAAGCTATGGGTTATTTGTGGGGGGAAAAAAAAGAAACCCCACACCACAAACCAACAGCAGTTTAGGTTAGTATCTCAAAGTAATACAAAAGAAACATACTCCACGGCCTCTTGTGCACTAGAAACTCCCTTCTGATCCCTCACAGTCCTGACCCTTTTTCCACCCCTAATACTAAACGGATTATCTGAGAATTACCTGAGGAACTCGTTTACACTGCAGCTAGTAACCCCAGGTGACAGCTTGGTGCAGAAATATGTTACACAAACCGTAAGGGCAACTGGACTGAAGTAGCGTGCCCATTCTTAGAGACAAATAAATAACTGCCTTTATTTCTACAGAAGTACACGCAAGATAGTGTGCAAATTAGCGTGAAGAAATAAAGACAGGTTAGGTGCTTTACAGGGGTTGGCTGGTCCTTTCTTGTCCATATGTTATCTTAATTTTTGAGAATTTTTCTGTCAGATATAATTAGAGGTTTGGTTTTACATGTGAAATTCTGGACAACTAAACTTATGTGGGCAATGAAATCCTATTAGATTTCTACAGATAACTGGTCTATTTTTAAAAATCATTGATAAGGGTTTTGGTGTTGGCTTTTAAGGAAAAAGGCTGGGTTCTTTTGTTTCCCTGAGGGTTGGGGTAAGCTTGTTTTATTTTACCTTGTTAACAGGTATTTTTACACAGTTAATGCATTAAGTAGTAGAATGACATAATATAACTAGTTAATGTACCTCCCTGCTAGTCTACAGGTGATGAAAAACAGTCACTTGAATGGTATTTAGCTTTGTAATTTAGATTACATTACAATCTAAATTTCATAAAGACTCAGATTTTTCAATATGATTGTACTCTGCATCAGCAGATTGGAATAAAGTGCCAAAAACTATTCTGTAGAAGAATGTCAACTTTTCTTCCTTTTTTGCCTTTATTTCATTAAATGGTCGATCATGCCTCTAATCTAATGTAAGAATTAGTATTTTTCTGTGCAGTAAAACAAAATTTAATCATGCTATGTCTAGAAAAGCCTAGGACTGAAAAATTAAGAAGAAAGAATATATTATTTCCCCAAAAATCTTCCTAATTAACTCGGATTTCTATATTGAGAAAAGTAAATGTCTGACAGCTTTTACAATCACATTAAAAGTGTACAATAAATATCAGAACAGACTGGGTGACTTCTGCAAGACCAGGAGACTAAAAAGCAAAGTTCTAATTAGAAGTGGGAAGCTAAATTAATTATCTCCATAAAACGAAGATTTTTGTTCTAAAAAATTTAGTAGATGTCATATACAGATAATCAATTTCCCTAAAAATTTAAGAAGTTACAAGGTGATTTATTCTGATTCATATCAGAAAAAACAAGTAAACTGAAATGCCACTTGATTTTCTTTCCTTCAACAGGTAAAAGAAAACATGATAATTACAAAGAATTAATAGAAACCTTTCCACATTGTTCTAGAAAGTGAAGTTAATTTGGTATTGCCATTCAATTTCACAGCAGCTCAAGGACTTCGGCAGCAGAAAATAAAACAACTCTGTCACTCTACAGAAGTTCAACTCGTTTTTTAGAAATACTTTTCACACTTATATACGCTAAAGACCAGCTGTTTTGAATAAGAAGCTGATGTCTTTTCAAAAGATGGCCTCACTAAAAAATCCAGAACAGTCATGTGAATAGTATAGTGCAAAATACTGAGTTGAAACCCAAAACCTCCTTAAAATCGACTTCAAACTGTCAAAGTCCATTGCATTCACAAGTTTCAGCCCAGTGCTTGTTAAAAATATAGTGAATGTGACACTGTGTAGTAGCACAACTAAAAAACCAAAACAACCCAAAACAAAAAAACAAACTCAAAAACCATGGGAAAGTGCCCTTCTCTCCCTTCAGCTGACGACTCTGGCTTCCTTTCAACAACTGTTTTCCTTGCACTCAGATTAAGCGGAAGAGGTCAAAACCACAGCTGTGTGGCAGTTCTCACTGAGGGCTGTGAAGCAAACTCAACGTCCAACCGCTGCCCCATGACTTGTTTGCTTCCTCTACTAAACAAAACTGCAGCCTAAAGTTTACCAACTTCTTTCCAAATTCAGCCCAGCAGGGTTCATGCAGCCTAGATATATAGTTATTTTAACATCAGCTTGGTAAAAACTAACAGGGTAGCTTTAAAACTGAACACCGTGACTCACAGATGGGCCGTTAATCATGGAAATTTTGCTTAAACAAAAACACCCCACACTCATGGGGACATGTTAACACTTTAAAAGAAAACTGTCAAATCCATTAAATGAAAGCATCATCCAGAGTCAATCTAGGTAGGCTAGCAGAATTGTGGAAATCTGTTAAGACTTTATATGAGGAGTCTGAGAACTGAGAGGGTTTTTTGATCAGTTTGGCCCAAGACAAAACCTGCCAGTTCCCACCAGCATAGTTTGTAACATTAAATGGCTGACATTTACTGTAGTGGAGGTGCACATTCTCATCCCTTTGACTAAAGTGAGAACATCCCACACTCATTTTTCTTGCTCTTCCATATACTGCCTAAAAAGATCTTGTTAAAGGAGATCTTTTCTTTTGTATGGGGACTGAAGGTAATGAGGATGTACCGTTAGCCTTGTGCCCTGTAAAGCATGAAATGATTGAGCTAATGTTCTTGCAGACGAGTAAGACGGTGGACAGAGAGATACACTCTAACTGGTCTAAGGAAAGAAAACAAATGGATTCTGCTCACAATCAGGAATAACCAAAACAGATGCAAAGTAAATTAAGCAAGGCACGTCCTCTCAACAATCAAAGCCTCGATGCTGTGAGGAGGCAAGGGATGAGGAAAGCATGAAACACGACAAGCAGAAGAGAGAAACAAAGGGAGTTTGCAAGCTAAAGGGAGAAGAAAGGAGAGGACAGATAAATTCACCAAGAACAGAGATGTACTGCGATACAGCACAGCAGGGAAACAACTGACAGAAGCCCTGGGAAGCAGTGCAAGAAAGCAGAAATAGAAGGAATAAAGAGGAATTGGGAGATAGAGTAAATGAAATGCACAGAAATACACTGGTTTCTTACAATCATCTGTCCTAAATTATCTCCACTTTAGTTAGGAGTGGGAGAAAGTCTCCGAAGTTATAGAAACATTATGGAACAGAAGCAAGCAAGTAAAGAAAAGCTCACAAACACAGCAAACGAAAGTAACACAGCTAGCATCATCATCACAAAGACTAGACTGGCCTCTATGGTCTTTCACAGCAATCTTCACATTGTTAAAATCCTCATTAATTTTTATTTTCCTCTTATTATCTGTTGCAGTACAAAGATACAGCCATTCTCTGCAGAACTGCAAATCTAATATTTGGTCTTTGACTGAAACATTATATACTTTCCAGAGGCCAGCCATGTGGTAGTTTTTATCATTAACACTGAACTTGTACGTGTCCTAATAATCATGCTAACTTCCACTTAAGTTCTAATAGGATAAACAAAGGATACCACATGCATTGTAAATCTTCTCAGTTCATTGCTAAACTTCAAAACTTTTTAACTGCTATTTACATTGTACAGTAGTTCATCAACTTTCATAAGCTTAGAGACCTGTAATAAACATTTAAGAAAAGGCAGGCATAAAAATAATTATGATACAGTAAATCTAATGGGTTTTTTGAGAAATTTACGTGGTATTACTGAGATGCTAAGCTACAAGACTGATTTATTTAAATCCCTTTTTAAGGATTAGAAATCGTCACAGATATTAACACTTGTAGCTGCGTGTATGCAAATGTCTGAAAAAACTAGACAGGATGCAGTTTAATCTCTCACCAGCATGCCTAATAGATCTTTGAATATCAGGGAGATTTTAAGTTTGGCAGCAAGACAAACTTGTTAGACATGTTTATAAACCTCCTGGCAGATCTCAATCTGCTTAGCTTCAAAAAATCCTACCTAAAAGCATTACCATGTTAATTGGTTGTATGTCAAAAATGGAAAATGAAGATGTTCAAAGTACCCTGTCCTTTTAATATTTATCTAACAGAAAATAATATACAAACATTTAAAATACTCACAGTTGCCACCTGTTCTGTTACTCCTTTGTCCCACTGAGTTTTCAGATTCTTTATATGGAAATTGAAGAGTAGTATCCAAACTTCGAAAGCCTTCTTTGAGAGAGTGGTGCTTATAGTATTCTATGAGTTCCTTTCAGAAAGGAAAAATACTGTGTCATTGGTATTGAAATTATATCCTTTTCAACATTCTGGTGTACAGTCAATGACTATTTTATCATACAAGTAACGTTATTTTGTAATACAGCATCCCACAGTACATGTTTATTTTTTTAAAATCAGGTATCCTAAATATTGACTGCTTTTACATTGCTGCTTAATTGGGTTTTGGGTTTGTTTAAAACATATTGCATGTGAATGGCAGGACAGGTTATTAAATCTGATAGGGGAAGTCGTTGTTTTTTTTTTTAAAAAAAAAAAAAGTAAAACCTTATTGTCTGAGTCAACACTTACTGCTCCAGGCTGAGCATGTATTTGCTTTTCTGAGACCAGGCAGAAGGCAAGGTCAGCTGCTTGTTGAGTATATAATGGTAATTGTCTTTGTTTTCCCAAATTTCTTTTGCAATGATAAGTGATGTTTATCCACAAACACTTTGTAAGTACACAGATCCGAAACAAAGCGTAAGACTTGTGTATAAGCATGTAAGTCAACAGCAACTTAATGAGCAGACACACAGACCATGTAAAACTTTCAAGGCTCTGCCATTAAAATTGGTGGGGGGATATGGGTGGTGGTAGCTGCTCGTTGGTCGGGTGTTTTTCCAGACAGTGCACGCTGACTGAAAAATCCAGCATTTCACATTCTCCTTGGGCCCAATCCAAGAATTTGTCTTTCTGTGTGTATACATATAAACATACCTATGCACACACATATACACACAGAGAGATAAATTTTTTATATATGCACAAAATCTTACGTATACGTACACACACGTATATATGAAAATATAAAAACTGGCTCAAATGGTTTATGTAACCAAGATAAGTTACTTTAGTTTCTATTCTAAAGAAGGCAACACCCATGAAAATACTGACAGCTGGTGTTACTCTTTTGTGATCTTCACCCTCTGCCATTGCCTCTTACATTTGAATTAGCCCTAATAATGTAAATATCACACAGTTTGTACACAGAGCCTAGAATAATATTAGAAGTGACCAGACAATTCAAAGCAAATGTGTTTCATTTGATTAATGATACTTCGACTGAGGGCTTTTACTCTTCAGAAATGCAAGTACAACGCAACTTATTTACTGTAAACCCTTCACTCCTACCAATAACTCAGTCATTCCATTCTACTTACTTAAACTTAGAATTTCAAAATCAAAGTTGACCAAGCCAAGCTTAGGTCAAAATAAGGAGATAGTACTGTGTTCAATCATTTCCTTCTAGTTAAAAAAAAAAATAAATAAAATAAAATAAATTTACTATTAGCCTACAACAGTGATATACTGATTCTAGCCAAACAAAATTACTCTCAAATTATTTAGTTCAAGATCTTGTGCATAAACCATAAGTTCTTGATAACAGTCTCAAGATTATCTTCTGAACTCTGGAGCACTTCACTCCCCACACTGCAAGCTGTTGCATGTCTCTGAAACTGCTTCTAAGGCAGAGTCCAAAGCTAAGTAAAATTTACACCTGCTTTTAACAGTTCATAATCACAGACCTGCCAGGCACTTCAAGCAAGCAGAAAGGCCAGGAGACTAAGAACTGTTTGGGCTTTGTTGTCTGACATCAGCACAGCACGCAAGCTACAATGTCAGCAACCAAATTTTCTGTCACATATCATCACTGAGTACCCAGACATTCAAATTACCAAGGCAACAGAGAGGGTGATTTGTAAGTAAGCAGCATCCAAAGTAGGATTTCTGGATAAATGGAAAAATAATTAGTATGAAACTTCTGTTACTTTTTTGCACCATATAAGACTGTAAGAATTTACTGTTCAGTAAAGACAGTAAGAATTTCAGCTGGACAGATTTTATTTGTTGACAAAATAAGTAAAATGGTTCCAAACTGAAGAAAAAACTACTTTGGGTCTCAAAGATTCAGTTGCTTTTAAAAGCTTAGGTTTTAATACCATTCTTCCATGAAAACAGTCGACAAACAACTGGCCTCTAAAGCATTCCTTGCACAAATCACAGTAGCAGGCTCACAAACAGCTAACTAACGTATGCAGCCACTGCCAGCGCAGATGAGGCTCCTCAAGAGTCTGTCACATTACCACGATACGTATCGGCAGCTGAGCTGACCTTTCACTGCACCTCGGCCTGCTTTACACATTCAGCACATTTTAATTACTCTTGTGAAAGTTTTCAAATGTACTACGAAAACTATGTATAAGAGCTGTTCCATTTCTGTTACATCCAGCGTAGCAGAGAACACTGTGTCACTGCAGATCACTACTACAGATTTCCATGGCTGCTGGCTTTGTCTCAATTCTGCTCTCAGTTCTACTCAGAATACTTTCGTTCCTCTTCTTCCAGATGCTTACATCTTTTCTTTTCTCCCAGAGCAAAGCAGTTGTTCCACAGCACTATGCAAACAGTACTTACACTACTAGCCCTTGTCTATTTAACTCTCAAGAGCAGACTTCGTAATATGCTAAAACCGAGTTATGAAATTACTTTTTCCTAATTAAATATGAGCAAGGCTAAATTGGTAGCGATGAGGCCTTTACACTAGAAATTTCTTTTGTCCTCTCAATTCTTTGATACAATGCATATTCTTTTTTATCCAAGTTTGTTCCCTGTGCCTAAACCTCTGATCATTCAGCTCTATTTTGAAACCTGCATCAGTGCATTAAACTGCATCATTGCCATCAGAAGAAATCTGGCAGCATACGACTCAAGCTCACATGCTTTGTCAAGATCCTCAGAGCCCTTGTATGTCCTCATCAGTTCCCAATGAATCATTTGTAGTGTCTGCAGACTAAGTAGCCACCTCCTTCAGGGATCTGAGGAACACCATGATTTCTGTTGCTACCAATGGTAAGATCTCAGGGTCCCCAGCCCTAACACTAAACACTTCACTGGTTTTTAAGTGTCAAATGAAGACAGAGCGTGGAAATAGCTTGGTGCATTCTTCATCAGGAACTTGATGTTCTTCCCATTCTAGTGAGCACTTATTTCAAATAGGGTCAAGCAAAGCATAGATTTCTGCTTGATTTTTTACACTTCCAGGATGCTCTTGCTTTACAGAGTATCAGTGGTTAAATTAAAATAATTTCTAAAGCTTCCTCATTTTAAAGCTTCTCTCCCTACCCTTGTTTTGCATTGTCCTTCATTTTTATTCATCATTTTAGAGAACTCGGGCATGCACGCAGGGAGGCTGCAGCATAAGTTTTAATCCAATTGAGTGCACTAAATATAATACATTGAATGAGCTTCCTTTAACAACGCATCAGAAAATGCTTAAGCAGAAAATTTTACAAATGCACTAAGGTAATTTATTCAGACACCTTGTATTTGAATCTTGTCTGAGCAAAATGAGCTATCAAGAAATTCTGTCAAATTGAAGTTCAAAAAAGGAATTTCTTCCCAGTACAAGATGACTGTGACATAACATTGAAAACTCACTGATCTGGGCAATTATAACACCAAACTCACACTTCTGAGAATGAACTATGCCTATAGCTGGAGTGAAAGTTAATGGAGAGCTAGTGAGCGGTTTGCTGCCAGAGTTTAAGTTTGAAATAGCCACACAGTTGCTTTAATACAGACTAGTCAGTATTGACTCCAGATTACTGTTATTCCAACAAGGATTTCGGAGCTATTAGCAGTTTAGACAGCCTCACTCTCTAGCTGCACTTCTTTGCCTGGTACACCTGGATCAGGAAGACCAGCCTCTCCCACTCTGTGGGCTCTCTGATACAGCTGCACCTTATATCGTTCTCCCTCTTAACTTGCACATCAACAGGGATCATTATGTTCAGCAGTACACATGTACATGTGCTGGACAGGGAAGGAACCTTCACCTAGCTACTTTTAGGGATCATTACTATATAGAGAAAGATTTCCAAAGACATCAAATTCCCCTTTCAAAATTCAGCCTAACTCCATAGTGAGCCGATGCACAGGATTCAAATTCCTCCTCTCTTCCACATCACTGCAAGGGACACATATTTATATTTAGGACTAGACTAGTCCTAAATATAAATATATAGCTTTAAGTACATACTGCCATCACTTTGAGCATAAGCCATAAATATAAAAAAAAATCATTCTATTAGCAGGTATCTCTCACTCTCACAGCCTTCTGTAATTTCACAAACCAAAGTAGCTCTCACAGCAACAGCTACATAGAAAATCGTACATTGTTAAAAATCTAATCAATGCTTACCATTAAATTTTTAAATTTTCTGTTTTCTGCAATGTGGAAAAAGCCATCTCTTGTTAAAATCTTGATGTGTTTCACTTCATTATTGTACCTGTGGGCAATGAATACCTTATGAATATAAATGTGGTTTTAATCAGACACAATCAATAATTACCTGAGGGCATGCCCCAATAACACCACACAAATAAATTCTTAAGACAAAATGTACATCTATGCCAAAACAAAGTCGACATCTAATTAACGAAATATATTAAAGTACAGATGAAAAAGTAATCTGTATTCAGAAAAAAAGTCACAACTAACTGCTCATTCTAATTGGGAATTCCCATACATTTCTTACTTTCACATTCATGTTGATAAACAACACGAAAGCAAACAAGACCCTCACAATAATTTGAATCCATAGAATTTATGAACCCACATTTTACTGCAATGTCTGAGATGCAAAGGGCTTCGATAAGTTCTCACTGAAGTCAATGAAACATTCACTCCAGAGAAGCAGATCACATTACAGTCCAAACACTTGCTTACTCTTGCCCAGTATACTAGACCATCATTTTTGTAGACCCATTTGCTACACCAGCATTATAAAACCATTGCTACCTTCCTACTATAAATCCTGGGTATTTTTGTCAGCAACTTCAGTTTTCCTATATTGACTCAAAGGCTGTATATGATTATATAAATTGAAAAGAGTGTTTATTTCCCTTATTTATTTCAAATACTGTCTAGACATAAATGAGAACAGGAAAACTTTCTGTAGGAGACCTTATTCCACTTACTTAATACTAATTGCATATTCTCCTGACTCTTTGGTCCTGTGCCGCACCAGGTAAGTGCTATTTACTCTGTTAATAAGTTCACTCTCTGCTTGCAATCTTTCCATTGCTCCTGCAAACCTGTAACAGAGAACAATAAAAATTGCCTATGATTTTTTTCGAAGCTACAAAGAAAAGTCTATCAAATATGCAACGCTCAATATTCTGCATATGATGGCAACCTAAAAACACATCAGTTGCAACCAAATACCACTTCCAGATCTCTGAATGAAGAGTAAAGCATGAAAAAAATTCCACACTGGGGGTGGAAATTCTTAATTAGAAAAGTACTTGTGCACATGTGGAATACAATGCCTGTTAAGGAAAGTACTTGAGCTTGAGCATTAGCTGAATGACTTCTGGCTTGAATAGCTCATAAAACCAAATGTTTTGCCTGAATTATGTTGCAACAGAAACAATAAAACAGTGGTTCAGAACATTTGAACCTCCCTGAGATCTAGTGGGATTTATCTTAACAGAGTGGAGACCAGGCCACCAGTAGTATACTAGGTCAAAAAAAAAAATACCTATACAAAAATCTGGTATTTATACAAACACACTGTTTTATTTGCTTTCATAATCATTCATAACTTCTAAAGGCTAAAGTGTAATGGGTAGACTAAACATCCGCAAGGAAAAAAAAAAAATTTCAGCCTAACAGGCCAAATTTGAAAGAGCTGATGCTAACAGTTGAAAGCTAAGACAAATAAGACACCAATTCTGCAGCCTGACTGCATAAGCAGATTTGTGCCCATACTCTGCCTTGCTGGTTCGGGTGGGACTCCATGAGAGGCTGTCAGATGACATTTATTTGCAAAACTAGAGGTTAAACTGTTAATTGAGGAACGTGACCCAGCTTCCAGGGAAATGATGCTTATCTTACCATTTTAGAAAGTAGTCTAAAGGCAGGCAACATCACAGACCACTACTACATAAAGTTTCATGCTAATACATCACTACCAATTAGAAGGGAGCTTTAAATTAAAAACCAGTTATTTTATGAAACACACCAGGGAACATGCATTTTGAAGTTTATCACAAAATACATGACTTTTTACAGCAAGTTTCAGCCTAAAGTAATTTTATAGTTAAATATTACAAATCCTTAGAAGATAAAGACTGATCCAAATGATATGCTTCCTTCTAACAAAATTATAAATAGAGCAAATGTTAGAATTTAATTTAAAATATCAACTTTAAATATTAAATATTCTATTTGGCTTGTTATGAAAAATCAATATTTGTTTAGATCTGATTCTGAATTCACTTTTGGCAATCTAGAGGAAGTCAGAACTCACATCTAAATGATACAGCATAAAACCAGTGAAAGAACACAAGTGATTCTTACTCTGTTCTCTCAGAATCACCATGTCTTTTTGAGAAGTGAGCTGAACGCCCGTAAAGAGTTCACACGCTACATAAGCCCCAGACCAGCAGTAGTTGTAGTTTTGATACATTGTCCTTTTATATCTCCACAGCCTTTTTTTTTGTTTGTTTATTTTAAAAGAAATGCAGAATTATTCATGAGACAAGCTGTATTTAACATTATTCCTTCTCTTTATTCACTTAACATGTAAGGTCTACTTGCATGCTTCATATTACACTCATCTCTTATTCTATTTCAGACCTCTGGGACTAAGGCTGCACAGCTACAGACTTGTAAACAAAATGTCAAAATCATTAAGCACTTTATTACATCAGAAATGCTTTTAGGCAATGCATGGTGTTACTTTCCCAAACCATTACACAATGCCTTCTTCAGAAGCCTAGAAAGGTTAAACCAATATAAATTAAATTGTAATAAACACAGTTTTCTTTCTATGACTGCTTCTTCCAAAGGGATTCTTGTAAGACTAGACAGGGACTCACCACAGTTGTGAAGAGTAGTCTACCGGTTTGGGAACCTAGAACACAAAAAGACACATGAGAATGAAACAAACAAACAACCAAACCAAAACCAACCCAACAACAACAAAAAAAACACCCCCAAAAAAACACCACACACAAAAAAACCCACCTCCCTGTATATTTAATCACAGTATTCTGCAGTTGAAATTGCAAGAATCAGGTAATGCAAAATTTTTGTGTTAACCTGTCAAAATGCTACGGTATATTCTAGCAGTATTGCTGAGGCGGTAACAGGCAGCTTTTGAATGGAAAAAAGCAGAATAGGAAGTGATGAAGTGATTAATGAACCGGGATATTGGAAACTAGATGACAGCAGACAGTCTGTGTTGAGGGAATCTACAGAGGAATATGATATTTACAACCATTCGTGTTGGTAACTTATTATCTTGCAACCTCATCAAAAAAGCACATTACTAAATTATTGAAACAAGTAAGAATTGTTACAATTTCACCATTGTGAGGCTCTCATCTTCATGCCTAGGAGCCTCAACACTAGAGTTATATAATGCACTTACTCCAAATGTTTCACTTAAAACTGGCTACGTATATTCTTAGTTAACTTCAGAACATCTTTTTATTGAGAAAGTTCTCAAAAAACTTAGATTAGGAATTAAATTCATATCTTTCCTAAATTCTCTTTCTCCACAGAACTAAACAAAACTGCTCATGTTTTTGTGACAGGATAGGGTCTGGCTACAATTTTACTTAAAATGTAATTTCCATCCCTGCACTGTTAAGGCTCACTTCTATGAACCAAAATTTGCAAAGATCACAACGCTCTGCTTACTGCCTTTGACATAATGGTCACTAAAACTAAATACATAACCACTTACTCAAGTGCCTCTCAACCCAAAATTTTTAATGATAAAATCCTGACTTTTACAGGACAGCCCGATACTCACATTTTTTTTCTAAATAACAAAGCAGACACTAGTGCGGAACACATTAAAGTTCTGTGTGCTAAAACCAGGGTCACATGTTCAGCTTGCAGAACAGTAAGTCTATCCAGGTGTTAAAACAGTCACTAAGTTAGTCTAGTTCTTGAGAGAGAAAAAGGTAACATGCACTACTCCCAAACAGCGTAGACAAAGGGCTCTCAAACAGCAGCATCTGTAGTGCTGCATGCAAACCCCTTTGAAGGGTAGGGGGCCCAACACAGCCTGGTACTACCACTGGCAGCAGCAGCAGTTCTTCATATCCCTACAGCTACTGATGGCAAGACTCGGAAAAAAGTTAACAGATTATGAATATGCTGACAAAGAATTCCTGTGAGAAATGTTTTAGTGAAGCAACCAAATGAGACATCTCAAGGCCAACTAGGCACTTACAGAGTCTTTACATGCTGTGAGATATTTCAATAATACATTTCAGCTACAGAAGAATTGCACCTTTAATGATTTGTACTATCCCCCATAGGACTAATTAAATAACATGCATCCTATTAACAGCAGGAGAAGAAAGAATAGTTTAAAAAAATAAATATTCTTAATTTGTTAAGTAGTCCTACTATGTTGGAAAGAATATAAAAATTCAAAGACGGTTTAAGTTCACCCTCCAGAGCAGTTAAACAATAGATGAGTAGTCCTTTTCATTAATTTTGAATGTACAGATAGATAGATAAAGATAGATATAACAAGTGTTGTTCATTGTCATAAAACAGAGTAAGATCAAATGTTCTTCCAGAAGGTCCTGGCTCATACTGTGCTGTGTATTCAATGACTCTATAGAAATCAGAAAACTGGAGGAAAGCAAGGAAGAACCAGGTATTACTCATATGGTGCAGAAAATGTCTGCTGACACATACTACTTATTGCAAAGACGAAAAAATTGTTTATAGGTACATCTGTGAAAAGTCTGGTATATAGATATTCTGCAGCTCAGCAGTTTTTCATTCAATATTCATTCCTAAAGTCTTTTGATGTATGTATTTTATGCTGTTTCTGGGCATTTTTATATCAGCTGGTTGTAAAGACTGTTAGACTTAATAATAACAGTAAAAGTTATAGCATGTTTAAAACCTGATTGATGTTTCAGTATCTTTAACTGCATCATTTATCATAATAAGATGTTTATATTTCATCCTTACAAGTTAACAGTGGTGAAGCATCAATTTATCTTTTTGTTCTGAGCATGATATCAGTTGGTAACACTTCATGAATAATACTATTCATTCTGTAAAAATCTATTATTTTCAACACGCCTCTAAATAGTGTACTTTAAATTTAGCAGAAAGCTTTATCACTAGAAAGCAATCTTCACAATACCCCAGCAGCACTTTTCCTAACTTTGGACATCCTACTTCATCTGCTTTAAAGCATAGTGGTGGTTCCTGAAATGTTCCTACAGTTGCTGTCAATGATACTATGCAATGACTGACTGGGTGGCTCCAAGAACCTAACATCAATACATAGCAGGTACTGGCTGGGTCCAGGACAGTGACCCATAGCATGGGAAATCCACAACTTTTACAGTAAGGAAGGAGTGGAGGGAAGAAAGCTACGCTCACATAACATTTTCATCTTTATTCCACATCTGTTCTCTCACCCAATTGAACATACCTTGTACCTACAAATATTCTGTGCATCCCTCTTCAACTTCAAACAAAATTCTGAAAATATAGGGTATTAAAGATGTCTCAAGATACACTGATGTATTTATACTCTTTAGGATCACATGTAGATTTGTTTTAGAAACTAAGGCACAATATAAGCCTTAAAGGCCTACCAAAATGCAGCCACTAACAGCTGAATCCACCTACTACTAAACAATTTAAGTGGCATATCTCAATTGCTGTAATGAAAGCAGTTCTATTAATAAGTCAAACTGCTGTGAATCAAGTTAAAAGAAGTTAAAGCTCCCTGAAAGCAAAGTAAGGAACATGATTCATCACTGGTTTTATGAGTTCACATTAATTAATCTCAACAAAGGGACATACAGTAGTCTGATGCACAGTGTTATAAAGGGCAGGGAATAAAGGAGCAAGCATATAGTATATTAACGCATCTTCACATCAGTGCACAAAACTCTTGATTACATATTATAAAATAATTTTTCTTATTGTTATCCTGCACTTTTCTAAATTGAGAACATCCTTGTATGAAATAAAGGCAGGTAAGAACCTGCAGAGAGGAGAAAATTTATCAAGCAGTCTGAATTCAAAGTTTTATATTAGTTTTATTCTTATGCATTTTTAAATTCACTATTTACAGTGTAATCCCTCTCTCTAACCCAAAGTGACTGGGGAATAGATTAGAACCACAGCATTCTCACCTTACCGCTGGGGAAGGAAACACATAAAATGTGTTTCTTCTATTGTCTGGAAACTCCTTAGACAGTTCCATTTATTAATATCCCCATAAGCTAAATCTGCTGCTCAAACATGTTTTCTTGACATGTCTTATTTACATCCGATAAGCAAAAGTTATACTATATTTTAAGCAATACCGAACGTACCACGACAACACAAAGAAACTAGAAACAATATGATTTTTCTAAGGTAAGATTAATAAAGCAATGGCATGAACTAGGCAGTTTTTCTGCAAGATGACAAACAGAATTAAACAATTGTACTTACACATGGGCTAGGTTTTACTGCATCACTTGGGAAGAAACCAAGCTCTCCTGTTGTTAGATTTCTGCCCTAGGAAAAAAAAAAAAAACAAAACCCACAAAATTTTCCATTTTTGAGACATAATGAAAATTAATAGTAAATAATAATACATGTAAAGGGAGGACAGTAAGAGCATTTTTATGAGTCTTTAAAATAAAATGCTGTTCTAATAAAGTGTTACTCAACAGTTGTGAGGTTTTTATTGGTGGTTGTTGGGGGGGGGTTTATTTATATAAGTGAGTGATAATTACAGCTGATAACACGAGAGCTCTGAGATGAGATGCAAGAAGAGGGCTCAGAGCCTGCACTGTGATTCCCAGTTCTATCAATGTCTGCCAGTGTCTGATATCTTCATTAACATTAATTATCTCCTTTCAAGTTACTTCCTCCTCAGTTGGCATCACCCTAGTGAGAGCTGCCACTCTGCCACATCACAGATCCCCAAAATGACTACACTACCATGCAGCAGCAGTTACAGCACCTGAGAAATCAGGCTAACTCCCATGGGAACTTACAGCTGATAATTTATCAACCAATTCAGACACAAAGTTCTATAGTTAAAGGTTTCTATAAGTGACGCAAATCATTGGAAATTGGGTGGGCACAAGAACACTAACAGAATTAAAGATTAACTCTCTGTCTATGATATATTCATAATATGTTGCAGATGCACCCACACAACTGGGAGACCAGCTGCAGAAATGCATCTAGAATGGCCTAAACTGAGCCTCTTCTGCACAAATTTACTCTGGGCTTTTAAGGGCCCAAACTGACCTGATCATCACAGACCCATGACTCAGCAGCTCACAGTTCACCACTAAGCTCCCCTGAAGAACACCTCCTCAGCCAGACAGAACAGCAAAATAAAAATCCTTTCCTAGTCCCGGTAAGCATTCGGCTGTGACCATGCTGATCACATTTTTCAGAGCAGAACCGAGTACATAGCTAAAATTTCTAAACACGGACACATCAAATGAAGGCATCAAAATGTGTATTTTGGCAAACAACTGTTTTCACTTACCAGATTTTAAAAGCACATAAATGCCTAACCTCCATTTAATTTAATATACTGACTGTAAACATAATATACTATCAGCATTTGGCAATGAGACAGAGTACTTTACAAGCATTGTAATATTGAAAACTACGTTCACTTTTTCTTTGATGGCATACCTGCAACATAAAAAATTAAAAGGCGAAGAAATACTTCAGAAACAGATATGTAATTTGGGGGGGGTGGGGTGGGGTGTTAGGTAGTTTTGTTTCTGTAACACTAAATGTGTAATTGTACCCTAAATACCACCACACAAAACAGAATTCAGCTATTTCAAACAGGGTGGACCTTAATGTAAAAGAAAGAATTAATGAGGGGTTATGAAAAATTAAAACATTCTTTGATTGTGATACCCTAAGCACAATAAATGAGAGCATTAGTTTCCTGGTGAGATCATTATGCCATTTATCACACACAGATAGTAACCCCAGTAACTGCCGTCTTTACCAAATATACAGAGAAGTGCAGGGGAGGCAGAGGAGAGAGAAAAGCAGTTAAGCAGTATTTAAGCTACAGTATATTGATATGAAAAAAAAAAAAGAATTATGCACAAACAAGGACAATCTTACAGATCTGAAGCTGTGCTCAGCAAAGCTTCCTTGCCCTCCTTCCCACTATCTGCTTGAATACAGGTTACCCTTGGCATACATATATTCTGTTTATTCCTGAAACATGAAACCCTCTGAAGTACAGACTTACAAGCAGAGCTCTGACACAGTCTCACGTCTAAGTGGTACTTATTTACAATACTAATCTTATCTGAATAGCAAGTGATACCAGTCAGTAAGACCAGCCATTGAATGAAATATATTAATGAGAAAAAGCATTTGAACGAGCGCAATTGAACACCAGTTTTGTATATGCCCACACACCACTGCTATTCATGAGAAATATTTATATAAAGTGATAGAAGCCGAACAAGATAACATATCATGCAACATAACGTCCACAACAACTAGAAAGCAGCCAAGGATCAAAATTTGACGTGCTAAGCGACAGACCCCTGCGTTACCATCTGAAAGTGCAAAAAGGGGCATCATTTCAAATGTTCAATAGCGTTTCATAATGTTTATAGTGCTTCCTCCTGCAAGTCAGAAATACAGGATTCTCTCTTGCTGCTTTTCCAGAAATGTATTTGCACACCCTGAAATCTAGAATGAAATCTAGTTTTTATTTGCAGACTTTTAAATGCTTCAATCTGCACTGAATTATACCAAATTATGTTTTTCCATGACCTCAAGTAAAAGTCAAAAATAAAAAAATAAAACTACATTACAGCCACTGAAAAAAACTGTAGCATGCACAGAAAGACCAGACCATGGGACAATACGATGTAAAGCCAGCATTACATGAGCTGGCTTAGGTACTGCTAGCAGTACACAGTGATATGAGTAGCAGCTCTAAAACCCAGCAGAGCAGCAAAGTTCATGACATAGCTGTGGTCCATACTAGTTGAATCATTACCATAATACAGACATTATAATGTATACAAATTCAGAACTTGGAAACTGCAATCTACAGGCTGTATTGTAACATATATGTGACTTTCACTTTTAAGTATTCTGTAGGTAACAAGTCAATGGCACTTGCAGCAAAAAAAAAAAATTAATCATCTCAAGGACCCTGAACATCCATTGAAATGAAGTGGTGAGAAACCACATCATCAGTGGACAGACTTGCATGAGAAGTACAGCATTAAGAAATACTCTCTGCCCAAGCAACAGGCCTACAATTTACTTAGATGTCACCACCATTGCTGAAGGAAACGGTTCACTTTAAAATTTTAAAATGCTCTGTCGATAAGGAGCTCATGAATAATTTGATAATGTCCTTAGGGGACTAGGTTACTGTGTTTACTTCAGAAATCCTAGCTAAATTCATCAAGGCTTGGTGTTATTCATACACAAAACCATGACCTATTGTCAGATTATGACTTCAAAATTTAAGATCTATCCATCACCTCTAACAGCAGCAAAATTATTATGCCATCATACTTCACTGCTACTAATAATTTCTTTCTACTTTATGTTTCTTGATTGCTTACTGTGAGATGAGTAAGCATTTCCCTTGAAGACTGCCCTATAATGGCTTACAGTCATTATAAAAGCAGAAGCAAAGGACTGGACAGAACTAGTTTTAAAATGCATATTATGAACACACTATTACATTGTATTTCTAAATTATTGTATTATATCTTAAAATATATATTACATGATGTGAGTGTATGTGTGCATACACATTCATATCTATAAGAGCCATTGAAACCCTTCAGTCCATTTCTTTCAACGGCACTCTCAACAAGACTAGAGGCTGATTCACGACTCTTGTACCTGTTTTAATGAGGGAGACTTTCTGAAGCCATTTGACACATTTGCTCTAAATATCCAGGCTGCTGCCTGGTACTTAGCTATGCAATGCCCATTAACTTCATTGGACATGCACAGAACTAGAAATCCAGGATAGCAAAAATTTATAAATTCTCATGCCCTTCACCCATTTTCATTCTGTTTACTGCAAAGTGTGGTGAAGGGAGGAAAGAGACAGATGGAAAAATCACAAACCAAATTACAAACCAAAAGGAAAAAGAAAAGACACTTTAATAGTGCTGCCTCCCCAGTGTTTCCATTTTATATCATAAGTATATTTAATAGTGCCACCTCCCCAATGTTTCAATTTTGTATCATAAGTGTATTTACAATATACTTAATGCCTTTTGGCTGTTTACAGCAGGACCAATAACTATTGAAGCATTAGAAAGTACATCTGTAAGAGCTATTACCTGATACGGGTTTAATCCGCACCAAAAGAAAAGCTAGTTTTGAAAAAGGAAAGAATCAGTCCAGGAAATATCTGCATTCTTCTGGCATACTTGAGAAACATGATTGCCTGAGGATGGCAGGTAATTGCAATGCAAACCTGTGAAACTAGAATTACATTACATCTTATGGTAGGTATTGCAGCACCCCTGAGAGCCTACCCTCAGGTTAAGCAAGTACCAATTTACTCAAACCAAACTCAGAAGAGGAGAGAAATATTCACATCTATAATAAAAATCTGACTACTTCAAAGCTGCATTACTACAGCTGAAACAACTAGTAGTGCTCTGGCAAGGGGTCTGAAATTTCCATTTAAAACACCAAGTTTTCTTCTCTCTGCCTCCCCCAGCCCCTCTTCCTTTTCTTATTTCATTCTGCAAGTGATGTTAGCCAAGCACAAGCTAGGCAAGCAGCACGGGTCTTCTACTCTTGCACCTTGACTGAGCACAGAAAAGTAGTCATGCACAAGCAGATGCACAAGTATCAGCTTAAGAACATCCTTCTCTTTGTAAGCAGCCAGGTGTTTACTGAGGAGAGTAAAATAACTTGTGACAGTATTGGCCCCCCTGTACTACACATTCTCTTTGAAGAAATCTTAGGTTTTGGGTGATACCAGTGAAGAGGCAGAAAGCAAATTCATAGAATTCAGAAATGCTTATTCCAGCCATCGCATTGTCTCTGATTGCTTAGTTTGCCTCTCAGAAAAGTATTTGCTGTTTCATACAGAAAAAAAACCCATACTTCTATTTTCCAAATTTCTTAACAGGTAGATTCATATGTGTACATGGTCTTGAATTACTACAGAACTTACCACAACAATTGCTATACGATCATTCAAACATTAGCATAGCAGAATTTTAACATCTATCAAAACACATTTGATTGCACTTAAACTATAGCTTAAGCATTGCTTAGTAACATGTGGTGTTTATTTTATGTACTGTAAAGAATGACAAAATTATACTTAAACCACACATACTTATCTATTACAAGCACTTGAGTTTCTAAACTGAGAGATGGTTGACTTAAAAATCCATTCTAATATTAAGTCTTGCAGGTCAGCTGTAAATTACTCTAAAACACCTCTTGAATAAAACAGATTTTAATACAAATTGTGTTTTGCAGGTTTTTTTCTTAATACGCATTTTAAAATGCAGATA